TAGTTTGACTTCCTCTTCTTTGGGGCATCCTCTGAGATATTGGAAGACTGCTATCATGTCTCCCCTAGTCCTTCTTTTCATTAAACTAGACATACCCAGTTCCTCCAACCGTTCTTCATATGTTTTAGCCTCCACCCCCCTAATCCTCTTTGTTGCTCTTCCCCTGCACTCTTTCTAGAGTCTCCACATCTTTTCTACATCGTGGCGACCAAAACTGGATGCAGTATTCCATTCAGTTTGGAGGGACCTTGGAGGTCTTATAGTCCAACCCCTTCTTAGGCATGAAATCCTACCCCAGACAAATGGTTATCCAACTTCTTCTTAAAAACCTCCAGTATTGGAGCATTCACAAGTTCTCCTGTCCGCCGCTTGGAGAATCCAAGCAAGGGTTAACTTTGTCCATTGGCCTAGAGGCTGAGTTAGAAAAAGTGTTGGCGTCTCCTTGAGACTTGGACGGCTGTTTGTCTGAGCAGAGTGTTTGGACTTGATCACCTCCAAGGTCCCTTCCCACGATGTTATTTTGCTGCTTGTTCTTCTCATCCTCTGCTCCCCATTCTATCATACAGATGCATTGTTCTTATTTTGGTCAGTGAGAAGATCAAAGGGAAGTATTGATCATCCTGGCAAGGGCATTTATCTTGTGGGAGCTTCAGTCACTGGAAGCTTTCATGAAGAGACTCGACTGCTGTCTGTCAGGGATGGTGTAGGGTCTCCTGCTTGGGCGGGGGGTCGGGCTAGATGACCTATAAGGTCCCTTCCAACTCTGTTCATCTGCACAAAATACTTGCCCTACAAAAATGGGCCATGTCGAATGAAGCAAGGCAGTAAATAACCTGATTATTCATCTGTTTGATTTCTACGGACGCCCATTTTAGCTCACAATTCAGAAACACATTTTGCAATTAAAATCTTTAAAACATTTTGAAATCGTAAAAGCCATTGAAATACCAAAAAAAACCCATTGAAATGTCTAATTCGAGTACATACAAAGCAAGATCTCTCATCTGTTAACAGCATAACCAGGAGGTTATTGGTACACGTAACACCCTGGGCTCAGAAGATTTTCTTATAATAATGCTGGCAGCACATTTTTTTTATATTACTGCTTTTATATTCTGCATTGGCCTTTTTTTTTTTTGAACCTGAGTGGATTCCCACATCATGCTAGTAAGCTACAATGTAGTTTGTTTTCTTTTGGCTCAGCATGTTATGGAATAAGTCCTCATAGCCGTTACAGTTACTACTTCTGATTGTTTATGTTCTTAGCAGCTTTTGTCGGTAATCTTTTTTAATGTTGTAAATACCTGGGAGTAATTATTTTTATTGTTGTTGAATCCAATGGCATATGACTATATGTGGCCCAGTCAGCCATATGTTTAGGTTGGATTTGGAGTTTTGGTTCACCAGTTTGAGTCCTTCCCAAGAGCCACAGATAGGCAGATGTTTGTGTTAGAGGTATTATCAAGGAGGTAGATAGCAATAGCATTTAGACTTATATACCGCTTCACAGTGTTTTTACAGCCCTCTCTAAGCGGTTTACAGAGTTGGCCTCTTGCCCCTAACAATCTGGGTCCTCATTTTACCCACCTCGGAAGGATGGAAGAGCCGAGGTGGCGCAGTGGTTAAATGCAGTACTGCAGGCTACTTCAGCTGACTGCAGTTCTGCAGTTCGGCTGTTCAAATCTCACCGGCTCAGGGTTGACTCAGCCTTCCATCCTTCCGAGGTGGGTGAAATGAGGACCCAGACTGTGGGGGCGATATGCTGACTCTGTAAACCGCTTAGAGAGGGCTGAAAGCCCTATGAAGTGGTATATAAGTCTAACTGCTATTGCTAAGTGAGCTTTGAGCCTGGTGAGATTTGAACTGTCAAATTGCAGGCAGCTGGCAGTCAGCAGAAGTATCCTGCAGTACTGCACTGTAACCTCTGCGCCACCGCGGCTCATAGATATTCCAAATAAAGCTGTCTTTTGCAATTGGTGATGATGATGATTATCCCCAGATATATGGTTTTACACAGTCGTTAAATAAACCATAGCTTGGCACAGTGTGCAAACCAGACTTATGTATGCTTCCAAGGGGGCAACTGTAGTACTGTAACAGTGACGTCGTAAATTGCTGAATCTCTACAAGGCTGAATGAACGTGCTCCTCCCCCACCCCCTTTTTCTTCCAAAAGTGGCAACATGAGGATCTCCTTCTCAACCGCCCACAAGCCATGACGGTCACTCCTCCGCCTCGTTCTGCCATTTTGGCTAGCATGAAAAAGAAACTTCACACACTGGGACAGATTGAAGCTTCCATTGTAGCAGTTCAGGTAAGCTGTGTCACCAACCCCACCTCTATGAGGAAAGGCAGAATGGATATGAATGTGTCAGGCACTTAAGAAAATTGGAGTTGGTCTTCCACATATGCTTGGAAAAGGCACTTCCAGATCAGATGCTTTATTTCCACCCCCCCTCCCCTCTACTATCAGTTAACACAATTCTTCTACAAGCCTGCACCTTGCTTCTTTTTTTTTTTTGAAAGGGTGTCCTGAAGGTGCTTTTTTCAAGAGGCACCTGGACTTTCTGGTTTTTCTTTGAAGACGTTTCGCTTTTTATCCAAGAAACTTCTTCAGCTCCCAATTGGGTGGTGAATAATGGAGTCAGAGTTGAAGAAGCCTCTTGGACGAGAAGCGAAAGGCCTTCAAAGAAAAACCAGAAAGTCGAGTTGCCTCTTGAAAAAGTACCTTTGGGACAACCCCATCACCTGAATGATTGAGAATCTCCATGGACATTTTGAAAAGGATGTTTTTAACTATGCCAAGGAGGTTGCCATGACTTGAACATTTTAATTCCTCTTAACTGTAAAAAATAATAATAATAATGAGAGAGGAGAAGGATTACTTCTGCACAGGACCAAAGCCTAAGCAAAAATGTTCAGACTTTTAATCCACTTCATACTTCCTGCAGGAAAAACTGGCCGCCCTTGAAGCAAGCATCGAGCAGCGTTTGAAATGGGCCGGGGGAGCCAATCCAGCATTAGCCCCAGTTCTGCAGGATTTCGATGCCACCATTGCCGAAAGAAGAAACCTTGTTCTGAAAGAAAGTCAACGAGCCAACCAGGTATTAGGAATGGCGTGATTGTGGGTTCGCTTTTTTGTGTGTGTGCAAGCGATTAAATTGGCAATTCAATATTTAGGACAAATTTTGTGTGACCCCGTTAAACATAGGACCTGATCTTTTTGGCTGTAGAGCTGAATTCCATAATATGATGTCAATAATAACATGGTTATTGCATAGAATTGCTGCTACAATCTAACATAATTTATTAAGTAAACATTTTAAAATAATATTTGGGAGCCACTTTAGTTTTGGTACCCAGGTGGCTCAGTGGCTAAGACGCTGAGCTTGTTGATCAGAAAAGTTGGCAGTTCAGTGGTTCGAATCCCTAGCGCCGCGTAACGGAGTGAGCTCCCGTTACTTGTCCCAGCTTCTGCCAACCGAGCAGTTCAAAAGCATATAAAAATGCAAGTAGAAAAACGGGGACCTTTGGTGGGAAGGTAACAGCGCTCTGTGCACCTTCGGCATTGAGTCATGCTGGCCACATGACCACGGAGACGTCTTCGGACAGCGCTGGCTCTTCGGCTTTGAAACGGAGATGAGCACCGCCCCCTAGAGTCGGGAACGACTAGCACATATGTGCGAGGGGGAACCTTTACCTTTAGTTTCTCAGTTCATTATAATACACACATCACTCAGTGCCACTTAAAGCCTAAATGCCAATTGCAAGAATAGCGGGAGTCAATATTTAGGTGACACTTTTCTTATCCTGAAAACAATTGAATTGAGTTTTGTGGACTGCAGACAGTGACTGAGAAGGAAATCACATTCTTTGTTTTCCAAACACATTGCTCAGAATAAGAAAAAAAACTTATCAAGGGGAGATGGAAGGACTAAAGTTTTCCTCCCCCCCCCCCCAAGCTTTAAATTAAGTTTCAGAAGGAACTCAAGGGAGTGCACCAGTTGCGTCCCTACCTGAACCGGGAGGCTCTCACAACAGTCACTCGCGCCCTTGTGACCTCCAGACTGGACTACTGCAACGTGCTCTACATGGGGCAGCCCTTGAAGAGTATTCGGTGACTTCAGCTTGTCCAGAATGCAGCCGCATGAGCAATTGTGGGTGCACCTCGGTTCACCCACGTAACACCTATCCTCCGCGAGCTGCACTGGCTGCCTATTGGTCTCCGGATATGCTTCAAGGCGCTAGTCGTCACTTATAAAGCCCTTCATGGTATTGGACCTGGGTACTTGAGAGACCGCCTGCTGCCAATTACCTCCACTAGACCAATTAGATCCCACAGACTAGGCCTCCTCCAAATTCCATCCGCTGGCCAGTGTCGACTGGCGACTACCCGGAGGAGAGCCTTCTCTGTGGCTGCTCCGACCCTCTGGAACGAACTCCCCGTGGAGATTCGTACCCTCACCACCCTCCAGGCCTTCCACACAGCCCTTAAGACCTGGCTGTTCCGACAGGCCTGGGGCTAAAGATTCGCTGCCCCTATCCCGAATGGTATGATTGTTGTGCTTTTTAACTATGTCTTGTTTTGTGTTCTTGTTAAACTGTTTGTATCCCCCCTTCCCTTTTTGAGCTGTGAGCCGCCCTGAGTCCCCTCAGGGAAAAGGGCGGCATACAAATGAAATAAAACTCAAACTCAAAAGTTTATGGTTTAAGATAATCCCTTTCCTCTTTTTCCTCCCCTCTGTCTTGCAGGTTACTTTCCTCTGTAGTAACATCATCCATTTCGAAAGCTTGCGTACCAGAACAGCAGAAGCCTTAAACCTTGATGCTGCGTTGTTTGAACTTATCAAACGTTGCCAACAAATGTGCTCCTTTGCATCCCAGTTTAATAGCACCGTTTCTGATCTGGAGCTTCGATTGCTTCACAGAGTGGTATGTAGGGGAGGGGGATAAGAAAAGAAAAGGGGGCAGCCATCTTAGTACAGTAGATACTATCAGTGGCTTCCTCCCTTACAATTTCTTCAAAGCACCTGAGGGTAGAACAAGAAGCAATGGGTGGAAACTAATCAAGTAGAGAAGCAACTTAGAACTGAGGAGAAATTTCCTGGCAGTTAGAACAATTAACCAGTGGAACAACTTGCCTCCAGAAGTTGTGAATGCCCCAATACTGGAAGTCTTTAAGAAGATGTTGGATAACCGTTTGTCTGAAGTGGTGTGGGGTTTCTTGCCTAAGCAGAGGATTGGACTAGAAGACCTCCAAGGTCCCTTCCAACTCTGCTATTCTAATTCTAATTGCTTTTCCTTCACCTTCCCCCCCTCCTCTTTTGACCCCCAAGCAGTTTGATTCTGTTTTGAACAAAGTTCAGATGTTCCGCAATGCTGCATTCTCTTAATATATTTGTTGGTTGCCTTGGTTACATTTTTTTTCTGAGAAACTGAATGAGTCACACTGGACTTTGGTCTTCTTACCTTCAAAAGAACCTGATCTAGCAGACAGCCATTGGCTTAAAGCTGCTTGCAACTTGTGGTTGGGTGGGCTCCTTTCAGGTTAAAGTAATAACCTTGAACACTACTGGAATATTCCCCTTTTTCTTTAGGGAACCAATCATGACCATCCCATTGGTAGCTCTGAATGGCTTGTCATAGCTCACAAGCAGCTGACCCAGGACACGTCGGCTCAGAGGACGGCACAGGCTGAGAAAGAACAGCATATAGACACCGTGTGTGAAACCATTCAAAATCTGGTTGATAGTATTAAAACTGTGCTCACTGGGCACAATCGACAACTTGGGGATGTCAAACATCTGCTGAAAGCCATGGCTAAGGTAAGATCCGCACTACGGAGGAGCAGTGGTGGATGTCAGGGTTCCCACTGATGCCCTAATTAAATCATGAGCCTTGAGCCAAGCTTCAAAAGAAATCCAGTTATTTATTAGGAGCTTCATGTCGGCAAGTTCCCGAGTGAAGCCAGCCCTGACCCCACGTAATTTATGGTTCCCATCAATGACCCTGTTCCCCCCCCCCTTTTCCTATGGCAACTCGAGAGCAGGCCAGGGATGCTTTGCGAGTTGACAGTGGACGCACTACATTGCTGAGGGCTGGATCCCTGAAGCTAAGAGGAGATCCTCTTAGAATTTCTCTTTGGGCTTTTTGAAATTTTAAGAATGGCACTGAGCAGCCCCTGGAGTTTTGGGTGGGTGCCTGATGCATGTATAAAAACATTGAACCTCTCTATTTATTGGGAAGACTACTCAGGTTTGCCTCAATTGGAGTAACTCCAAACCTCTTGTGGAAAGAAGCTAGAAGTGCATCTATCAAAAACTGGAAAAATGTGTAGAAAACCCATAAGAGAAATAATGTACATTTCTAGAATAATCTGATCCTGAAGCTTCGTATGGACTATTTTCAAGAATTACAGTGGGGAATCCCATTCATGACAGAGAAGCAGATATAATGGAGCTGAGCTGGAGTGAGGGAGGGAGGGAGGGAGGGAAGGAAGGAAGGAAAGGAAGGGAGGGAGGGAGGGAGGGAGGAAGGAAGGAGTTATTAGTGTTGCAGCAGTGTTGGAACCTCCTTCAACCAAATCTTTCCATACGTTATGGGACCTAACCAGTAAATAATGTATGTTCTAGCATTGTGGCTTTTTAAAGGAAATCCTTTTGGTTATCCATTTCTTAAAATTCCTTCATGGATGTGATTTTTATTTCAGGATGAAGAAGCTGCCCTGGCTGATGGCGAAGATGTTCCTTATGAGAACAGTGTTAGACAATTCTTGGGAGAGTATAAATTATGGCAAGACAATATTCAGACTGTTCTGTTTACGCTAGTTCAGGCTATGGGTCAGGTGCGCAGTCAGGAACATATTGAAATGCTGCAAGAAATTACACCCACTCTGAAAGAGCTGAGAACTCAGAGCCAGAGGTAAGCAGATGTCCCTTTTTATCTGTCTATAAATTAAACCACAATCGTTAACTGTCTTGGAGGTGTCGTTGCCGTTAGCAACTGAAATTGCTAGACTGCCCAGTGCAAATGGGATTTGCCGTTCTCTGTGACTAGCATTTCAACAAAACCAGAAAGCCACCCTGGCGATAAGAGGCAACTTTGTCGTCAGGTTTATTGTTGTTAGTTGCAAAGTCGTGTCTGAACCCATTGCGACCCCATGGACAACATTCCTCCAGGCCTTCCTCTCCTCTACCATCTTATGGAGTCCATTGAAGCTCACGCTGACTGCTTCAGTGACTCCATCCAGCCACCTCATTCTCTGCCGTCCCCTTCTTCTTCTGCCCTCCATCGTTCCCAGCATGAGGCTCTTCTCCAGGGAGTCCTTCTTCCTTCTCATTAGGTGGCCAAAGTCTTTGAGTTTTCAAGATCTGGCCTTCTAAAGAGCAGCCAGGGTGGATCTCCTCTAGGACTGAACGGTTGGATGGCCTTGAAGTCCAAGGGACTCGCAGGAGTCTTCTCCAGCACCTGAGTTCAAAGGCCTCCATTCTTTGGTGCTCAGCCTTCCTTATGGTCCAACCTTCACAGCCATCCATTGCAACTGGGAAAACCACAGCCTTGACTGTACGCATTTTTGTTGGCAGGGTTACAGATGTGCAGTTAAAATGATCAGATTGAATTCCTTTAATGTCTTTCAGACTCTCTCAGGTTATTGACCGATTCTTGTTTTGCTTTTTTTACAATAATCTAGTGTCTACAATAATCTAGTGAGTTTTGCATCGCCCTTAATCACGGATACGCCGAATGAATGCTCCAGCCCGACGTCTGTTGCTGTGTGCCAGCCAACATTTGCCGCAGGTAAACTTGGGAGCAGATTTGATCTCCCGATTACCCTGATCCCCAGCATCAGGGCCAGTGTGAATCATCCTTCACTCTCAGGTAGTAGAAGGTGCCGGCCCCCATATTTACTTCAAAGCACCTTGCATTAGAAGTGCCTGTTTTAGCAATTGGTGCCCGATGTTTGCTAATAGGTTTGGGGCAGGGGTGAAATCGAATTACCTTTGCTACTGATTCGGTAACAATGTGATCTCGCTTTGCTTGCACACGCCACATCCGCGTATGCGCAGGACCTTCCGTGCAGGCGCAGAGCGTCAAAAACAGACATGAAAACGTCTGGGCGGGTGGGTGGAGCCTGATACCGAGCGCTTAGAACAGCGAGTAGTGGGAATCCGCTGTGCCACGTGATTTAGATTAGCTAGAAAGCAGGAAATTCTGCCTTCCAGCTAATCTAAATCGCATGTCACAGTTGATCGTCGGAAAAACCAGTTAGCCTGAACCAGTAACATTTTTTTTTACTACCGGTTTGGGCGAACCAGTAGTATTTTTACTGCCGGTTCAGGCGAACCGGTCCGAACCGGTAACATTTCACCCCTGGTTTGGGTGTTATCTTTGGAGGACGGGGTTGGATCTATCGTAAAACAACAAATCTACACCTTTCTTGCTATTTCTCTTGGACTGTAACTCAGCCTTAGTTCATTTCTTACAACCTTTTCAAAACTTTAACTTGCCTTTTATTAGCGGTCCGTAGCAATACGGGACAGAAAACTCAGCCAGAGATCATGTCGCAGAATACAAGGAAACTAATTCAGAAAAACTTGGCGCCATCGGCAGATACTCCTCCAGGCACAATTGCAGGAGCTGGAAAGAGTGTTATCTCTAGCCCTAAAAAGGCCATCAGAGACCCTAAAACAGGCAAAGGTAAAAAAACAGAACACACTTAAAAGTATCTATGAATAGATTCTGTTGCTAAGATGAATTTTCACATAATGTGTGTTTAACACGTCTCGGGGGTGTTTCTCTCTCTCTCTTTTAAAGCTGTGCAAGAGCGGAATTCGTATGCTGTAAGTGTGTGGAAACGTGTCAAGGCCAAGTTGGAAGGCCGGGATTTGGATCCCAACAGGAGAATGTCTGTTGCTGAACAGGTAGGTTTAGGCACTGTCCAAAATCCAGATTGTAGCTTCTGTTTTGTACATGGTTAAGCACTAAGTTAAAGACCTTGATTACTAATTTACATTCTAGCAATGAAGGATTGGAGTTTTTCTCAGATTTCCTGCAAAAAAAGTTCGTTATGTAATTGAATGACAATCCATTCAGAGGTGGTATTTAAGCAGGTTCTGGCAAACCGGTAGCGGGAATTTTGAGTAGTTTGGAAAACGGGTAAATACTACTTCTGACTGGCCCCGCCCCCAGCTGATCAGGAGGGAATGGGGATTTTGCAGTAATCTTCCCCTGCCACACCTGCCAAGCCACGCCCACAGAATCAGTAATAAAATATTTTGAATCCCATCACTAAAATCCATTGTATATTAAGGCTACAATTTAATATGTCAGCTATTTAACCACATTGTCAATGGGACATGCTGACTTGCTCAAAAACTAAAATATTTTGAACTTTTCACTGCTGGCCTGATCTAGACACAAAATTAAACAACTTTCATTTTTCTGGGTATAGACCTTTGGTTAAAAAGAGGCCTTCGATATAGGCCTCTGGGACATCTTTTTTGCTGTTCCCATAGACAGGTAGCCCTTAAGACCATCCAAAGTTGTGCCACTGAAAACAGTTAACAATAGGTCCTTGCACTTACGACCATTGCGCTATCCCTGTGGTCGCATGATTAAAATTTGGACCCTTGGCAACTGGCATGTACTTACACGATTGCAGAATCCTCAGGTCATGCGTTAACCATTGGCGATCTTCCCGGGGGGTGGGGGGGGAAGGGGTTTCCTACAAGCAAAAACCAAGCTGGGAACAAGCTGGACTTGTTTAACGACCATGCCACAAGGTTATAACATGGGGCCCAGCTCACGTAACGACCCACATCACTTAGCAATGGAGATCCCCTTGCCAATTGTGGTCACCATTCAAGAACTATTACGTTGTCCCTAGCAGGAGCGGGCGAATCTCGGAATTTGTTTTCAAAGCTGATTCCCCCCCTGCCCCGGGACAGTGATGGCAAACTTTTTTGGCACCGATAGCCGAAAAGGGAGCACTTTGTGCTCGTCCGGGCCGTGAACAGGAAAAGGAGCTGCCCAGAGGGCATGTGTGCGCCGGAAAATGAACTTCTGGTTTTTGGCTCAGTCTTCTGGTTACTGCTGCGCATGCGCACACACCGACCAGCTGGCCGCCATGCATGCTCACGCTGGAAAACAGAAGGCCAGCTGTTCCGGTTTCCGGCACTGCCACATGCCCCAAGGCCAGCTTATTGCCACGCGTGCATGCGCGCCAGAAACATGGAAGAGCGGGCAACCCCGCACCTGCCAGGCAACGCAGCTCCGCGTGCCACAGCTTCGCCATCCCAGGCCTAGGGATCGTAGGGGTGGGTTTTTCCAAAGCAACGTTCAAAGCGATCGGTGGCACCTCTGCTCGGGAGGGCTCTAACTTTCTGCCTTGCCCTTCCTCAGGTTGACTATGTGATTAAGGAAGCCACTAATCTAGATAACTTGGCTCAGCTGTATGAAGGTTGGACAGCCTGGGTATGAAACCGGAAGAGATCGGGTCAGTTTGGTTCAGCGAGGCGAGCGGCATCCATCAGAATCAACCGGGCCTCAGGCATCCATAAGCAGCAGCACCACAGCTGGTGGTAACGCCTTTCTGGGGCTTACTGTGAGGAGACCTCAGCAATCTCGGTGCACTGGGAACGTCAGCCCTGCAGAGTAGCTGCACTCAGGGATATGCTAAACACAATGGCCTGGAACCCCCACCCCCCTCCTCTCTCTCTCCCCCCCCTCCTCCCCTCCCTCCAGGGTCAAAGAGTGTGGAAGCTCATCGCCTGAACACGCAGGGCCGTCTTTCTGCTCCAGAAGAACTGCAAAAGGTGTCCAGGGTTTTGGGGAGGGACTAGCTGCAGAAAGGGAATTTGGGAAAACGCTACAAACCGCAGAGTGATTTGGGACTTTGGTTCCACCTGACCCTGTGAACAATGCAGGAAAAAAAACACGACGATGACGACAACAAGTGTGCAACCCCCCCCCCCTCTTCCCCTCCAACCCGTGGGGGGGGGAATAAAAATAAAGAGGAAGGAGGGCAGGGCGTGAAGAAACTGCAGCAAAGGAAGATTTGAGAGATTTGAGTTCCTTGTCGCTCTTAGTTGCTCAGCAACGGTGCCGGTTGAGTTCGACCAGTTGGTGCAAAACGAATAAATAAATAAAATAAAAGGAAAAAAAAAAGGAGGAAAAAAAAACAGCTACACGAGATGAACTTCAGAAATAGACTGAAATGCAAAAAAAATAAAATAAAAAAAATAGCTGTACATCAGCCGTATTGGAAGAGCCCTCTGAGAAGAGAGCCTTTTTGACTTTTTTTCTTTTTTTTTTGGTCTTTTTTCAAGTCCCCCCCTCCCCCCGGTTTCTTCTCTTTAACTTAGTTCGGTTTTTTTTTTCTTCTTTTTCCAGAGAAGTTGTTGATTTTCAAATCCTTGGTATTTCATTTTTCAGTCAAAGGGATCTTTTTGTGTGTGTGTGCGTGATTTTTTTTTTGATTTGGGGTGAGCCAATTTTTCAAAAAAAAAAAAAAGCACAGGGAATGCTGAACATTTAAAAGCCATTGCCTTCTGGATGGGCTGATCCAATGCCATTTTTTGGGGGTTGGTTTTTTAAAGCGAGGGTTTTTTTTTCTCCTGCTTTCCTTTTTGGTGATCCTATCATGTACAGTCCCCCCGTCCCCGTCCCCCCTCCTGGATTCGCTGTGCATTTCAAATAATACACTGAACAGGCATCCTATGGTCCCCATCTGCTCCTCTTCCTGCTTGCAGTGCGTAACTCCTTTGTTTAATTCAATCCTTGGCCTGCCTACCAAGCTCATTCTGTTGTGATTTGCTGTAGTTTCTTTTGTAAACGTAGCTACTTTGATGTAACTTTTACCTTTTGCAACGAGGAAGGGGAAAAGGAAAAAAAAAACCAACTACAATATCTTAAGTAGCCTTTTATGTTGTTGATGACAGAAAAAAAAATCAATAAAAGTGAAGTTTTAGTGGAGGTAGTTTTATGCTGATTCACTTCGAATTTTTGATTTACACACGAATGTAGATTGTTTTTGGTTCGATCTGGGGAATTTAAAGGCAGACGTATAAACTGGACTTTGGGGGGGGGAGCGGTTTCTTTTGTTCAGATAAAATCATATAAAGATTTTTGTGTGCCGTTATTTTTCCATATAAGACTTCCAAGAGGTGGTGTTCTGTATAATAAATTTTCATAGTGGATTTCCCCCCACCCCACCCCAAGCTGTTTTCCTAAATCTACCGTGCACTTTTGAATGGTGGTATGTGAGAGAAGTTGCTTATTTTTAAAAAGGCACTTTAAACCGGTCTGTCTCCATACATCTTCAGTGTTTTGCTTGGCTGTGAAATAAAAAAAAATTCGTTACTCATGAGCTGGTTTTTAGTGTTGCCTAAAGGAAAAAAGAATCGGGTTGCTTCCTGATTCACTTATTGGTGGTGTCCGTGGACTTGACACCTGAAGGGCTCACACCCTTCCTTCCCACCCCCTCAACCTCTGTATGTGAACTTAATCTAATTTGAAAGAATAAATCAAGATTCTGCACATGGTGTCTGTAGTATTTTGAAGATTTAAAAAAAGCTTTTCAAGGGAGGAAATATTCCTATTCCTCAAAGGTGATGCTTAAGCCTCTCTTTTAAAAATAGCCTAGGACATAAATAAGGAGGTTTTTTTTTTAAAAAGATCACTACCAGTATTTTATAATATAGAAAATCTTTTGGCTTCGTTAGGGCTATCTGATACAAGAATTGACTTGATGCTGTTATGGAGAAAAAAAACCTTTCAACCTCCTCAAAATGTCTTGATTGAAGATTGACTTGATGCTGTTATCTATTTTTCATATAGGCTTTTTGTCTGTCTTTCCTTTTTTTTCTTTTTCTTTTTGGTAACTTGCCTTGAGTTGTTGTGTGCACTGCCAACGTATTTGCTAATGCTTGTGAGTAAATGTATTTGGATCTGATACTCTTAACCCCTTTGCCACGTTGTGTAAAAATGAAAAGACGACTGCATTTCTCTTAAAAAGCCGAGTCGGAATTCATCCAGCTGGTGACTACACTCTTGTCGTCCTTCCCAGCATGAAGCATCATTAACCAGCAGTCTGCGTATGGACAACAGTTGGGATAAGAGAATTACATATTTTATTTCTTGGAAGCTGTGAGTGGAACAGGCCACTTACAACCGTATTTCATGTATGCTTATACTTTTGTTAAAAAACGAAACTTGTACCGAATGGGATCTTTACTGCATAATGTAATAAAACTTAAAAAAAAAAAACCTTAACTGTATTAATTAATTCCCTGTATGGCTTTTGTTTCTTTCTTTTGGAAACAAGTTTCAGAGTACAAAAGCTTCTCTACTGGATGTGTGTGGAAATTCTCAGTCACGGTTGTGGCAAACGTGCTTTTTCCAAAAGGACGTTCTTGGTTTTTCTCTTTGAAAACTTGCTTCTCATCTAAGAAGCTCGTCTTAGTTCTAGTAGTTTTAGTTTAACTAGAACTGAAGAAGCTTCTTGGATGAGAAGTCAAAGAAAAAAGCAAGAGTCCAAATTGCCTTTTTTTTTGGGGGGGGGAAACTTTTGGGATTTCTCTACTGGAAGATTATAAGCATCTCTGTACCCACTTGGAATACTTTGAAAATCTCATCCCATCATTTGAGGTAGCATGCATGGAAAACAGACTGGAACTTTAACATGTCTTATCACATAATGTTTCTACTAAATTCCCAGCTATGCATTGGATATACAGGAACACTTCTCATATCTCTGAATTGATGTGGAAAAGACAACCTTTTGTTCCTCCACTGCCTGTTCCAGATTTCAGGTTTTTGGAGGTTAATCCTCTGCTGTGCCAGTGGCATTTGGTGCTTTAGAGGTCCTGAAGATTGGCAGGTTGTTGGCACAGGTAGAAGAGGAACAGAAAGCTTTGGAACTCCAGAAAGTTTTGTTCCTTGAAGATCTGATTTTACATGTTGCTCATTTGGAGTAATTTTTTTTTACAAAACTTCATTTCCTATCGGCTATTTTTAATTTTGTACTTGAGGGTGTTGCATGAAACCGTTAAAGGTATGGTCCCCCCCCCCCTTTTGGGAATGCATAATCACAAAGTTGGTATTTTCTCACCCACCCACCACCCTTTTTTTTGAAGTGTATAAAGTTTGGCCAACTTGCAGGTCAGGACTATATCCTTTAAAAACACAAAAATACATAAATACAAAGTGAAACCTAGTTTGCTTCACCCTCCTGTTGTGCTTTGCTTTTAGATCACATCCTTTTCCTGTTGAATGCAGGTTCTGTTTTTTCCTGATGTGCAAAAGTAGGGAGCTTAACATTAGAAGCATCTTCCCACTGTGGTTTTTCTCTTGAGCACTTCTGAAATTTTGCTGATTAAAGGAATCTTGTCCTTTAAGAGGAGTAATTAATTGGGACACCCCTCCCCCCCCTGCTCTCTGAGCTTGGTGGCTTTCTTGCAAACGTTTCATGACCCAACTAGGTGACATCAGTGATTGAAGTGGCTGGGATTGTGGTATGATGAAGGAGGAAGACTGGGATCCTTAGTGTTCTCTGAGCTTGGTTGTTTTCTTGTGGACGTTTCACTACCCAACTAGGTAACACCATCTGTCTCACCCTAGTTTAAAGCACTGTACTTTTTGCCTTGCAACAAGACAAAAGCACAGCTCTCTTCACCCAGCCACCTAATAATGTACAAGTACTTTAAATGGCAAGCCTGTTCAAAAGGCAGGAGGACAGTTCCCATCGTGCCTGCTGGCTGGGGCTCATGGGTGCTGGAGTTCAAGCGCCCACTGACTTCCCTCAGACGTTAAAAGGCGTTTTCCTCCTCCCTCCCCCCTCCTCGAGGGCGGGGCCTTGTCTGCCTCCTCCTCCCTCCCCCCCACCTTCACGCGCCAACCCGAGTAACGGCCGAAAAGGAAGGCGGCGACCGAGCCAAACAGACAGCTCTTGCGTCCAATCAGAAAGCGGGCAGAGGCGGTGCTTCGGGGAAGGGGGGGGCGTGGCGCGGCGGCGCGAGGCCAGGGAGCGACGGGACGACGAGTTCGCGCTGCGGCTGCCGCACAAAATGGCGGAGGGCGATAACCGGAGCACCAACCTGCTGGTGGGTGAGGGCCGAGTGACCGAAGCGGATGCGGGGAGCGGGCGAGGAAGGGCAGGGGGCCGGTTACATTACACGCGCGGAAGGAAGGAAGCGGCTGCCCCGGAGCCCAAGGCGGTGGCGCCCAAAAGAAGCGCGTCTGAGGGCGGAAAGGAAGGCTGTGGTAGCCTTGGGGGCGTCTCTGCCTGAGGCGGCTGCGGGGAAGGGTACAGGACTTTCTCCGGGCCCTCCTTTCAGATAACTCCCGTCCTTCAACCGCTTGGGGAGGGAGGGAGGGAGGACAAAGAGCAGAACGTCCGCAGAGCACCCCCTCCTCACGTGTGAACGCAGCCCTTGCGCTCGCATTAAGACGCGTGTTATTTCCCTGGCGGGGCGGGGCCGGGTTTCGTCTGCACGGGAAAGGGCGGCTGCGTTCGCACGGCGCGCTCGACCCGATTCACGCCTTGAACAACGACGACAAAATAAGAGCCGAGCTGACTCACTCGTCGTCGCTGCTGGATTTGCATTGAAAGTGGGAGATTTTTAATGGGGTGGGGGTGGGTAGAAGGAATAGAGAGGAATGACCTGACGAGACAGTAGGTTGTGTCCCCGTGTGTTTGCTTAGCTTGTAATGAACACGGGAGTTATGCAAACTGAGCCTCCCCCCTCGTTTCCAGAAATGGTGAGTGCCTCCAGCACTGGAAAATTTTAAGAAGAGATTGGATAACCCTTTGTCTGAAATGGTAAAGGCATAAGGTTTCCTGCCTGAGTGGACTAGAAGACCTCAGTGTCACTTCCAACTTTGCTATAGTCTGTTCCATTCCACTCCACTCTCTATATTCTATTCCTATTGTTTATATTATTCCATTCCATTCCACTCTCTATATTCTATTCCTATTGTTTATATTATTCTATTCCACTCCATATTCTGTTCCTATTATTCAATTTTATTCCACTCCATTCTCTAAATTCTATTCCTACTATTTATATTATTCTATTCTATTCCACTCAATTCTCTAAATTCTTTCCTATTGTTTATATTATTCTATTCCACTCCATATTCTATACCTATTATTTCTACTCCATTTTATTCCACTCCATTCTCTAAATTCTGTTCCTACTATTTATATCAGTGTTTTTCAACCACTGTGCCGCGGCACACTAGTGTGCCGTGACATAGTGTAAGGTGTGCCGTGGGAAAATTACTTTATATATAGTCAATATAGGCACAGAGTTAAATTTTTTTAACATTTTCTAATGGTGGTGTGCCTCGTGATTTTTTTCATGAAAAAAGTGTGCCTTTGCACAAAAAAGGTTGAAAAACACTGATTTATATTATTCCATTCCACTCTATATTCTATTCCTATTGTTTATATTATTCTATTCCACTCCATATTCTGTTCCTATTATTCAATTTTATTCCACTCCATTCTCTAAATTCTATTCCTACTATTTATATTATTCTATTCTATTCCCACTCAATTCTCTAAATCCTTTCCTATTGTTTATATTATTCTCTTCCACTCCATATTCTATACCTATTATTTCTACTCCATTTTATTCCACTCCATTCTCTAAATTCTATTCCTACTATTTATATTATTCTATTCCATTCCACTCTCTATATTCTATTCCTATATTTATATTATTCTATTCCTTTCCACTCCACTCTATATTCTACTCCTATTATTTATATTTATGACATTCCACTCTATATTCTGTTTATATTGTTTATATTCTATTCCACTCCACTCTCTATATTCTATTCCTATTATTTATTCTGTTCTGTTTTCTATTCTATTTCTTTCTATTTCTGTTCTATTTGTGCTTGATAAAGCTCTGCCAGATCAGGATGGCTGTTTCCTGCCCTCCAGATAGCCTCTCCTGCAATGGCCAAGCCAATCTGGAAGTTTCCAAGATCTTTTAAATAGCACAAGTTGTTTTTCCCGAACATAAATGCAGATGGCCCTAGACTTATCACCACAATTGTGCCCAGAACTTCCACTGCTCAATTAGACAGTTGTTAAGTGAGTTTTGCCCCATTTTCTTGCCACAGTTTTTAAGTGACTTATCAACTGCAATTGATAAGTTAATAACACAGTTGTGAGGTGACTCTGGCTTCCCTTTTAACTTTGCTTGTCAGAAGGTCCCAAAAGGGGTTCACGTGATCCCAGGAGACTGCAACTGTCATAAATACATGCCAGTTGTCAAGCCTCTGAATTCTGATCATGAGACCATAGGCTAGCTGCAATAATCATAAGTGTGAAAAACCATCAGGTCACTTTTTTCATTGCCGTTGTAACTTCAGTCATTAAGTGAAAGTTGGAAGCTGAGGATTACTGCTTATCACAACATTTATCAATCTGCTTTTATCCCACCTTTTTAATCTGTAACTCAAATGGATAGCCATATATCAGTGTTCTGTTTTGCTGTTAGCTCTACATCCTACCTTAAATCAAACAGGGCATGGAAATATTTTAGAGAGCTATCAAGGCTTAAACAATGACATTTTTTCCCACTAGAATGCAAGTTTGTCCTGATTTACAGAATACAGAATAACAGTTGAAAGGGACCTTGGAGGTCTTCTAGTCCAACCCCCTGCTCAAGCAGGAAAGACTATACCATTCTAGACAAATGGCTGCCCAATCTCTTCGTAAAGAACGCAGATATATCTAATATTCCTGCTACCTCTTTTCCCTAAAACCGCCTTCTGCAGGTGGGTTAAGAGAAGGACTGGCCCAAAGTCACCCAGTTGCTTCCATGTCTTAAGATGGATCTAGAACTCGCCATCTCCTGGTTGCTGGCACCTTCATCTCTATACTAAACTGGTTCTTATGAGAGTTGTTCTCCCCAAGTTTTGATACAATGCCGAGAGGGCCCGCTTGGAGGGCCGCATTCCCTGCGACAGGCTGAAGATTGTGAGTTGTGACCTCCAACTGTTTGAAGGATACTAGCCTTCCTTGGAAATGATGATGATTAGATTATGTTGGATATGCCCAAGGCAAACCCTAAAACTCACAATCATCTTGTTTCTAGATCAGAATGTTTATCGTTACATCAAACTGGCTGTCTCCTTGCACGTGGGCTGCCAATGAGTGCTACAGAGCACAACCACTTTCACTTCCCAGGGCCATTAGCTTGGAATCTCATTGCCATTTGATTGATGCTTGTTGAAAACCCGCATGGGTTCAAGATCCCCAAAGGTGATAGAACCTTGAGGAGGAATCACTTTGAAAAATGCAGTATTTGGCAGATCTTCCTTATATGTCTTGCTGCTGATTATATAACACCCACCATATCCCTTTTCTACAAATGTGATCACAATGTACTTCTTGCTTGCTGAACTAATCTATGCCCAGAGCTATTCAAAGAAAATAAAAAAGAACACAAGTTTCATTTTGCTGGTTTTTCTGACAGAACTGTGGATCTTCCTTTGTGGTTTCAAGAGATACTTTCAAAGCTAGCTATGGTAATAGGAAAAGGAACAAGCAGGATGTTTTGTTAAGGGTACCGAATTTTCTTCTGTGATTCATCAACATTTAGCTAAAATCAAATATTTGACCTTTTCTTTTTCAAATCACAAGTCTTCAGTTATAAATTATTCTAAATTTAACATCAAAGAAAGAAATCTTGCAGACGTCATTGTTTAAAAATGTCCTGCTTAATGGAATGTACATACTTTTTAATATTTTGCTGCAGGCTGCAGAGACAGCTGGCTTGGAAGAACAGTTGCAGGGATGGGGTGAAGTGATTCTGGTGACTGACAAGATCCTTCGCTGGGAAAAAACATGGTTTCCAGCTGCCATGCTTTCTGTCGTGTCTGTTATCTTTCTGTAAGTGACGTCACTTTAACATTACTTTCCAGCAATTCTTTTAACTAAATTAGTAGGTATGTTTTCAAGACACCGCACTGCTACACCAAAGTGAAGAGGATTTGTTTATGTAAGTAAACGTAGGCTACTCAGAAAGAAAGTCTTGGGGTCGACTTAGGATGCCGTCTTAATTTTCTTTAAAAGAAAGAATCGGCTGGGAATTCAGCAAAGAGCAAAACAAATAAATCTAAAACTAATCTGCATTTTAAAGCAAACTTGGTGCTCATAAATTGACGGCACAGTTTCAATTAGGATTTAGTCCTCTTAAGCAGTAGGGCTCTGAAAATGGTTTGCAAATGTTGGTACCAAGTGGAGGTGTGCAAAATGAGAATGTTCTGGCACCTGAAACAAACTGGAACTTAGAATTTGGGGCAGTTTAGAATGTTCTGTTAGTACAGCTACTTTCTATAAGACATACTACAGAAAGGAGGATTTGCTGGGAGGGGGAAAAATGGACTGGTGCACCAGATTGTAAATTGACACTTCATATTACAGGCAGTCTCAAGTTAAAACCACACTTGAGCCCAAAATTACTGTGGCTAAATGAGAGTTTTGCCCCATTTTAAGACCTTTCTTGCCATGGTTGTTAAGAGAATCACGTAGTTAGTAACATGGTTGTTAAATGAATCTGACTTCCCCCTTCGACTTTGCATGTTGGAAGGTTGCCAAAGGGGATCACATGACCCGGGGGCACTGTGACCGTCATAAATGTGAGTCAGTTGTCAAGCGCCTGAATTTTGACCAGGTGCCCATGGGGATGCTTGCAATGGTTGTAAATGAAGAACGACTTTTGAATGCTGTAGCTTCGGTCACTAAATGAACTGTTGTAAGTTGAGGATTACCTATGTAACCAGTTAGCATAGAAATAGTTGAGGCGGCTTAACGGAATGGCTGCTCTGTGAGATTTAAGGAGAGCTTGGTCTCTCGACAGAAAGGTAACACAATAGCCTGTTTTTCTTCACTGAGCTCCTAGCACAAGATCTGCTGGCTGAGTGACAGCTGAAGTAAGCCGAAGGCAGCTGATCTCTCAGCAGAACTTATGAAATAAGATGCATGACTGATTGCAGATACGGGAAAGGCTGGTAGTATTCCCTTAGAACATGTTCAGGGTGAGAGCCCTGCTTAGGGAAAACTGCTGCCAAAAGAGAATGGGGGGGAAAACCTCAATAGCAGCATAAAATCTCAATGTGGAAAGAACAGATTGTTAAACTTTGCCATGACTAGAAGTCACAGGATGAAGTTAAAGAGATTAGAATAATTTTTTTAAGTACAAGCATTTTAAGAACTCAACAGTGCTACATTTCCTTATTTGGCAATTGTTTGCAGGCTCCCAGACCTGTGTTGTACCAGAGCCATAGTAAAGGTGATATCAATCAGATGGCTGCAGTTATGTCCAGTGTTAAACACATAGCAGCTGGGTCAGAGGGCTGTAGGAAAAATGTTTGAACTGTGGCCTTTCTATCCCAGAGGAATGTTTTCTTTTGATGCCAGTGAATTCTGTTTGCAAACATGTAGCTGCTTTAAGTGTCAAAATAGATTATACAATTTGTCCCTTGCAACATACTTACTTTTTAAAAAAATTAGAAGTGGGAGCCATCGGTGACTGAATCTAGATTTCTTTTTAAAGTGGCTTAATCTACCATTCACTTAATTTATAGCAGCAATATTCACAAACTAATACAGCAATCTTAGCAGGATTTATAGTTCTGATATTTTAATGTCCATTTTTGTTTGAGACTTTGTTTATGTAGTAAGTCTCATCGCAGATAAAAATAATGTTGCCTGGGGGTGATGGATTACAATACATTTAGAGACTACGAGGTTGTAGAGGATACCAGTTGTACAATTCAGTTCTAGTTTCTTTCACTGGTTGGTAATGAACTTCTGTGTCTTTCAAAGTCCAATAGGTTTTCTCTTTGCTTCAGCTCCCTCCTAATACCTGCTAAGCTTGTTCTCCCATTAGTCAAATTATGTTTCTGTTGCAGAAACAAGATACGTTTCATAACAATATTTTTTTTCCAGATCTGTACTTGTTCCTGTCCTTTCCCTCTACCTCCAATGCACTCATTATTATGTATCAGTTGCAATTTTTAATTAAAGTGCACCATGCATACTAATTGTTGTATTTTGCCTTCTAGGAGGTAGATAGAATTTCACGTATTTAATTACAAGTGCTTGTGGAGATGTTGGAGGTGTGTTGGTAGAACATGAATGTGACTTGTAATTTCGTATGCAGATGATACTGTTGGCTAAGATGATTGGCAACAAATACTGGATCAATTCTGATGCAACAAGAAAAGGTTGCATTGGTTAAAATTGATCTAATTTTAAATTAAAATTGGATTAAAAATCGAATTGCTGTCCTTCCTATTTGAGGTGTCTAATGGACAAAATTGCTTGAATCTGCTTTGAAGTGAACGTTGCCTTGTACACAACAGTCTAACTTGGTTACCTGGTTTGAAATTGTTGGTTTTAAGGAAGTGAACACGAGGCGGAAAGCTAGAGATGTTTGGATGACTGCAATGTGCTGAACATAGGACTGCCCTCAAAGACTGTTGCAGTTGGTCCAGAATGCAACAGGTTACTTAGGAGCACACCTTAGTATGCTTAGGTAACCTCATGATTATAGAAGCTACACTGGGTTTCACTAGGCTTCTGAGTGTAATTCAAAAGTGCTGGTTGTTACTCACCAGGTCCTTTCCAGCCCAAGATCAGGTAACATGCAGGTCTGCCTGTCTAGTTTGGATTGCATACGTTTTGCTTTAATTGTTGAATTACTATCTCGATTCCTTTGTTTCAACAGGTTGATCTACTATGTGGACCCCTCTGTTCTTTCAGGCGTTTCCTGCTTCATCATGTTGTTTTGTCTGGCTGACTATCTGGTACCCGCTCTTGCTCCTAGAATCTTTGGCTCCACTAAATGGTACGTTTGAATACTAAAATCCACGAATCGTTCCTCTTTAAAAAAAAAATCACTCAAGAAAAGAAACAACCCCTGATCAACCCTTTGCTGTATGAACTGTGTGTGTTGATAATTGAGAATAAACAGCCCTCCATGAAAATAATCTACCTGCTCCCGATTTTCCACTGTTGCCAGCAGGGTCATTGGCCTGAGTCATGGGTGGGCAACTTCACAACTTGTGGACTTCAGCTCCCAATTCCTGCTCCCTCAGGAATCCTGGGAGTTGAAGTCCACTGGTTGGCAAGGTTGCTATCGTTGCCCACTCCTGGGCTGAGTCAATCTCTTTGTTTTTTTCTTTCTTTCTTATTTTGCTTTCTTAATAAACAATGGCGTGCCTCAGTAGCAGCCTCGGAACATTTTGAGGTAATGCAGCTAAGGGACCTCCCTGCTGCAAATCATTGTTTGCCGACCCAGCTACATAAAATGGAAGGAGGGAGCACTATGTATGTTGTAACGTTCCCGTGGTTCGCCCNTCAGACATCAGTGGGGCAGAAGAACAGCTGGAGCCTGTTCCCAGTGTGTGCATGCGCAGAGCTGCCACAAGACAAGAACGACTAAGAAAGCAGGATCGATTCTAGAGTAAAGCCCCATCTTGGAGGTGATTGGCCCCTCCTATAGGAAACTAAAGAGGAACAAATGAGGAGGGGGCTTTTGCAGGAAACAATTGATTCATTTGATCCGGGAAGTTCTGTTTGTGAGAAATTGTGCCACATTTTGCCTTGCCCTGCGTTTGGAAACTAGTTATCTGGCAGTGCTCCAAATGAGATAAGGTGCGTGTGGATAAACATTCCTTTGAAAGATTGTTTGATAAGCCTTGCTGACTGTGAATGAAAGGATTTCATAGTTGTGTAAATAAAAGAGGTTTTGTTAGGACTAAGGCTTTCGCTTCCTAAGGAGAATAGTTTGAGTTCCTGCCTAGGCAGGGGGTTTGGACTAGAAGACCTCCAAGGTCCCTTCCAACTCTGCTATTGTATTGTATTGAATCCCTCTTCCTTGTGGCATATCCTGAGATATTGGAAGACTGCTATCATGTCTCTCCTGGTCCTTCTTTTCATTAAACTAGACACACCCAGTTCCTGCAACCATTTTTCATATGTTTTAGTCTCCAGTCCCCTAATCATCTTTGTTGCTCTTCTCCGCATTTCTCTGTTTGTGAGAAATTGTGCCAAATTTTGCTTTGCCCTGTGTTTGGAAACTAGTTATCTGGCAGGGCTCCAAACGAGATAAGGTCCGTGTGGATAAACATTCCTTTGAAAGATTGTTTGATAAGCCTTGCTGACTGTGAATGAAAGGAATTCAGAGTCGGGTAAATAAAAGAGGTTTTGTTAGGACTAAGACTTTCGCTTCCTAAGGAAGCCTGAGTCAGAACAGTTTTTTCCCCTTCTTTTTCTCGAACTGGGGAAGAGAAAAAGTCTGTTTAATCAAAAACTTTTTCCTAATCACATGGAAGGCACAGAGCGCTAAATTCTGCCGTCTGATATTATCCTGAGGGCAACACTGGAGTTGCGCGAAACCATTTTAGAAGAGATATGTGTCTTTTGTGCTCCCGTATTGCATTAAGGATTTGTTTGTCTGTGCCAACATTTAATTTTTGTTCTCTCCCCCCCCCAACTCCCCCAGCCTTCTTTCTCTCCTCCCTCCTTCCCTCTTTTCATTCCCCCCATAGATCTATTTGCTGAAATAAATTGAAGCCGGCAAAGAAATATAAGACACAATTTGTACTAGATATATCTGCAATTACTAATTCTGAATTAAAAGGCATCCCTTCATGAATAATGAAGTAGAAACGGCCCACAGGAAGGGACGGGATAAGAATCTTTCAAGCTGTGTACTTTTTAAATTGCTTCATTATCTAACATTTGGTATGAATAGATACACACGCAGTTTGTGGTTTAATAAGCCCTCATACATAAAGGAAAACCTTTCAAAAAAGTGTGTGTGTGTGTGTGTGTGTGTGTGTGTGTGTGTGTGNAGTACAATGTTACCGGAGAAGAAGCTTTGCAAGATTAGGTTAACAACTCTTAGTGCCTTAGCTTTATTTAGCACCATAAAAAGTCTACAAGTTTCCTAATTCTCTTACTTGTCCACCTTTAACCCATTCCCCCCGCCCCCCGAATGAAGATGCTGGAGTCCGGGGACTAAATCCCACCCACTAGTTTTACTGCGATTAGAATACGGCAATCTGCCCTCTGCCCAACAGCTGCCATATTGACAAGATTAGCTGGTAATTAAAGACTCAGACCAATCAAGGAGACTTGTGAGGGAGGGAAGGGGACAACTCAATTAGCGGAATGTCACTGATTCTAATTTACTTTGTTTACTACCACGAATGAAAGAAGCAGAGCAGGTCACCTTGGGGAGAGACTTCAGGTCTGAAAGGCTGTGCCAGTTCCCACACAGGGAGGCACAATATGTGAGTGTAACACACCAATTTCGTTGTGTACATGACGTACAATGGCAATAAAGGTTATACTGTACTATAGACGTGACATATAGTATCTGTTTATGTATGACATAAATACTATACGTCGCCATATGTATGTATGGTGATGCGCTGGCTCAGTGGCTAAGATGCTGAGCTTGTTGATCAGAAAGGTCGGAAGTTCAGCGGTTTGAATCCCTTCGCCACCTAACGGAGTGAGTTCAAAATCAAAACCAGCCCAAACCTTCAGAAATACAAACTGTTGTCTCCTACGACAGCCACTCTCCTTTCCTTCTATTTATTCCACAGCCAGGGAGGGGCCATTCAGCATCCACGTGTGCTTTGCTTCCCGAGTCGACTCCTTGTCCTCCACTGTTCACCTCTCCTAACTGCTCTCTGTATACGTGCATCAGGAACAGGCCCCAGCTGTTCTTCCTTCTCACTCATCTCAGCCTCCAAAGGCAGCTGCCTCTCCAGTAGCTGGGAAATGTCAGACGGCCCTGGCTCTATCTCTGCTTCCGACATGGAGCATCCATGAGAGCCTCCTCCAGACTCCAGCACTGGCCCATGTTCCTCCCCAACCTCCTCATCATCCAAGTGTGGTGGGCCACAACAAGATCTTGCAGAAAGAGACTAAGTGGAGACATTCACTCTTCTGTCCCCATTGCAAAACGTTCCTTTTCTAGGAATTTGGATCTCTGGCTTGGCTCACCTCCCCTTTTTCAATTTTGATTTTACAAGCCTCTAATGCACCATAGTCTGACCACTTCAATATTTTTAGTGGTGCCCGGTGCGCAATAAATCTGACTCTAATTCTCAGCCAAAGGGAGTAGACTGGCATTACTGAAGATGAATTCACAGCTGCACACATCAGCCGATTTCCCATTTTTAATTTTACTGCTTAACTGAATCTGTGCCTCGAGCTGCGAAGACTTATTTTTCATGTCCCAAGTGCTGGAAATTAGCCTCTGAGCGTTGAAATGTAACCTAATTTTGAGGATGTGACCTCTCTCATTTAGCGGGCAATTTGTGGGATGGGGGTGGAAAGCAAGGGATGAAATACATACAATCCAGCGGAAATCGCTTGACTGCCACGATTAGAATTACGCGAATGTGTATAAATGCCTTGCAAACAGATTGCAAAGAGGAGTTCTCTGCCGATCCGGCTGAATATTTAATTTTGGAAGAGAAGACTTGTTAATTTGTTAAGGCAGCATTTTACCCAAAAGCATTATTTTATCTTTTTGAGGGTGGGGTGGGTTGCTTTAAATAAATCCAATAGTCTATGAAAAGCAGTGGTGGGATTCAATTTGTTTTACTACCAGTTCTGTGGGTGTGGCTTTGTGCAATGGCCTAGAGGTGGAGCTCTTGCCTCACAATCTGGAGGCTGTCAGTTCGATCCTAGGTAGAGGCAGATATTTCTCTCTTTGGGCACACTGAACAAAACTCCGCAATGGAGACAAGTACGGCATCCGGCCATTCAAACACTCTGCTAGCTCCATTCAGTTGCCCCGCAAAGGATTATGGGAGTCATTAAAAGATGATGATGATGATGTGAGGGGTCTGTAGATATTTTCACAGCCCTCTTCCCCCCCACCCCCAGTAGTTGTCTTTTCAAATGGTCGCTAAATGGATGGTCGCAAGTTGAAGACCACCTTCACATCACAAGGGTTTGTCAGGCGCCAACTAGGGCGGGAATGGGGTGGTGGTCAGGCACAGCAACACACACACACACACACACACACACACACACACACACACACACACCATTAATGGTAGGATGTGCTCCATTCTGCAATCATTTTGTCTCTCTTTTGAAGGCTTGCTATCATGTTGGCCTGAAAAGGATATTGCCACCCTGTCTTGTTCAACACTGATTAAAACGCGAGGGTCTCTTGTTTCCTCGATTTGCTATTGATTGTGACCGCGATTCAACAAAGGGAGGCCGCCGCTCGGCTTGATGAAGACGGTCCCCTTCCCCGGCAACCTCCGAGCCTCGTTTGGAGCAATATTAAGACGGGACTGAAAACAAAAACGCGGAAGGCTTCTTTGATCCCCTTTGTTATGGCAGACAATAGACTTCAGCTGATTGTAAATCTTNGGGGGGGGGGTGTTCCTCTGCCAGCAAGTGGGAACATTTCAATTAGCAAATGCAGGAAACAAACTTGGAACAGAAAAAGAATTATAACTTGTTTTTATTTCACTTTTTTTTTAAAGTGTGCTTCGTCTTGTTGTTCCCTGGATTAAACAAACACGGGGTAATTTCCAAATACGCTGGAATGGCAAAAAGAGAGGTCAACAAACTCCTGAAGCACAAAGAAAAGAAAAATGAATGAAGTGTTGCTTGCTCCCTCGCCCAAATATATAATTCTGTTCTGGGAACAATTCAGATGACTCGCTGCGTATTTAATAGTATAGAAGTGCTTATACCAGCCATTGCCTTTTTTTAACTTTAATGTGGGACCTTTTTCTGCTGTACAACCCCCAACCATGTGGTCCCCAAACCACACATTAATACAGTGTGTTAACACAGACCATCATTCTTCTAGTAAGTGTGATTAGCCATCTAGTGTAATAAGGCTGTGAGATCAGTAATTAATGGTGTTGGTAAGATGATTACAATTGTGGAGCTATCCCGTGTTCATATTTTTTGGTGTAAAAGATAGCTAAACTTCTGTATTCCTTCTGAGTGTTTTATGGACACACACACACTGGACTGACCAGATTTATTTGGCAATATCCTCCAGATTAAATTAATACAATTCGTATTTTAAATTGTGGATTACAATGATTTGAATAAGCAAGGCTGCTAGAATTGTGCATCCAAGTTAAACCCCTATCTCCATAATAAAAATGTATTGCACTGGAATTATACAGGAAACAGGCTTAGGAAGCGAAATCAGCTCCCCCCCCCCTTTTGTTTAAATTGCTGTAATTTTGATGTCATGTTCTGATGATTTTAACAAACATGGTCTAAAAAAACATGTTGAAAAATACTTGATGCATCCATCTTGTGAACATATTTCTCTTTGTTGTCTTAATAACAATGTCCTATTTTGTCTCCAGTATGAATTTAAATTTCATAATTTCAAATGAATGAACAGTATTAACTCCCAGTTTGAAACCAGTCTTGAGTAACATTAATGCTTTGGGTTTTTTTTTATCTTTAGGCTTTCTTTCCAGCAAAATAAGGGTTGTTAGGAAATGTAATGCATTTACATTATTGCCTTAGATCTGCCTCCTTCAAATTAATAAGCCATCAGTATAAATATTTACAGTTTTTTCTGTTAAATAAAGGAACACATTGAAAAAAACCTGCTTTGGGCAAAATTGGTTTGGCTGGATAAGTTGGACCGTGTTTTTCCTTTATTTGCCTAGAATGAATATGAATATATCCTAGAGACTGGGTGATGATCCATACAAAAACTGGCCAGGTCAGTCAAAAGTATTATTCCCTGCTGGACTTAAGCACATCTACATTATTTTGATTCTTTTTTCCATGGCCAAATTTGCTTTTGCCAATGATATCAGTTGCTTGACCGGTATGTGTAGGATGAGGAAGAGCACAAGGAAATTATTATCTATATATTGGCAATGCAGATATTTGGTTGAGAGATTTAATTCAATCAGTTGTAATAACTTAAAATTATTAGAATCTATTTAGTGCTACACAGAGCTCCAGATAGATTAATTTCAATACAATACCAAACGCCCTGTGGTTTGTGGTATTAGAATTTATTTTGGGGAGAGATTAAACTTGGCTAAGATACTGCTTCTCCAAACCAATTGAAATCTTCTGTTTTGAGGATGCCAAATTGGTTCAGCATGGTAGGAATGACTTTCACTTTTATTAACGCCATCTTTACTTTTAGATATTGGGTAGATACTTAAGTACTACTCAATGTTCCTATAGTAAGAAAGGCTGTATCTTTGTCAGGTGAAGACTTTTCAGATTAGAACCCCGTCAGAGCAATTAATTTCTCTTAAAATGTGCGTCCTTTCATTGTAATAAAACATACAATAGCAGAAGCACAAGCAAATGACAAAAAAGTTTTAATAAATTGATTCAAAGAAGTCATTTTTAGGTTTTTTTAAGGCACACTATTGACTGTCACTACCTTTCTTTTTTTATTTTTATTTTTTCTTGCATTGTAATGCAGTGTTTTAAATGAGCAAAACGATATTGTAAGAGGAAAGAAGCTCGCCACGTGTAAAAAGTAGGACAGATACATGGTGGAGTGGAAGTTAGTTTAAGTTTTGCGTGCTGGTCATTTTTTGTCCTTTCCTTTGTGTTAAATGTGTAATATAGATGGATGTTAATGTATATTTAGGAAACTAAAAAGTTGAATAAAAATGTGAACAGAAGAAAAATGTGAGTCATGTTTTATTAAAGGTCAATGCCAGCCGCGTCTCTAGTTATTTAATCCAGAAACACAACACCCCCCAGCAAAACGTGTCTGCTGTTCTCAGGAGCTAAGCTGCTGAGAAGTTTCTTCTCACTTTTTCTTAACTTGCTCTTTCCTTGTTGACAAACTGGGACACCATTTTTGTATCAATAATGTTGAACCCCAGCTTATTTCTATGATGGCACTTTGAACATAACATGAAGTTAAGCTGAGAGATGTTCTATCTGGGTTTTAAAGGTTCCAAAGGTGCTTTTTCAAGAGGCAACTTTCTGCATTCTGCAGAGGATGCAAATGGCCAGCTGTCTGCAAGGAGTATAAATCCTTTCATTTCCCCCACCATCCAGTCAGAGCTGAAGAAGCTTCTTGGATGAGAAGCGAAAGGTCTTCAAAGAAAAACTAGAGAGTCCAGTTGCCTCTTAAAAAAAAAAAAAGCATCTTCGGGACAAACCCGTGATCTGGATGACTGAGAATCTCCTTAGACGTCTGACTTTTAAATAATATGTATATTTAATTGAAGTACCCTCTAAACATTTCTTTATGCTACAAACACTACAAAAACAATGAAGAAGCCAACCTCACATTTAATTAGCCTGCTGCATATCTCCAGCCCACATAGGTTCAGCTTGTTCTGCAAAATTACATTTAGATTGAGTAAACCATGGTTCATTCCAACGTCGCTACAGAGGTTCTGCAAGAATTCATTTGTGAATTCTCTTTGTAAAATAGTGATTAAAATCCACCTGTATCTTGAAGTTGCCAAGTTTGAGAAATCTTGCTTTAAAAGTACTGTAAAGTACAGTCTACCATTCAGTCACACTGTAAGTCAACCTAAAGTTTAGATTCCCAGGGTAAAAATAACTCATTTCATAGAATTATTAGAATTCTGCACTGCTTTGTGGGGTGCAGGGAAGCCATGTTGTCATTGCAATTGCCTTCCATTAAAAAAGATAACAGATAGAGATTAAGAGTTGGAAGGGACCTTTAGGTCATCTAGTCCAACCCCATACCCAAGCAGGAGACCTACACCATTTCTGACAGATTCCAGTCTGTCAGTCCAGTCTCTTCCTGAAAGCTTCCAGGGATGAAGCTCCCACAACTTCTGAAGGCAACTTCTGTTCCATCGGTTGATTGTTCTCACTGTCAGAAATTTTCTCCTTATTGCCAGGTTGAATCTCTCTTTGTTCTGTTTCCATCCATTATTCCTTGTCTGGTCTTCAGGTGCTTTAGAAAATAGCTTGACCCCCTCNGAATATTGGAATGGAATAGAATAGCGTAGAATAGAATATTGGAATGGAATGGAATGGGAATAGTTCAGTTCATTGGCCAACTGTGATTGGACACAGAAGGAATTTCTCTTTTAATGCATAAGCTCACATTGTACATACTTTATGCCCTTGTTTTGGCTTTTTCCCCCCCTCCTAAAATTGGAGAATTCAATTGCCAAATTTGCTGTCACATTTAAGGTGCTACCAACTGGGGTGCTTTGAGGGGGGGCCTGCAAAATTGGCACTAGTGGATGTACGCAGCCCTGTGGCAGAGCTTTATTCTTCCGGGGGGTGGGGTGGGGAATCATTTCTTCTAAGTCAGTCATGATTTTGTTGCCCAGGACTAAACCGCAAGGCCACATTTTTTCACCAGCCTCTCATTCCTCTCTCTAATAGGTTCATTGTCCTGACCACGTCAGCTGGCATCATGGATCACGAGGAAGCGAGGCGAAAGCACACAGGAGGGAAAATCCTGGGTTTCTTTTTCTAAACTTGTAAAAAAAAAAGTCAGACAAATTAATAAATGGTTCAAAAGGACTCTTTGCAGCCAGTGTCTTGAAGCGAATCCCTTATGGGTCAGTATTCCATAGGAGCCTAAAATATTTTGTCTCTTAATGTGTCACCCTACCTAAAGTCACCATGTTTTTTTTAAGATAATAGCAATGACCATAACAAAGCAAATCCGTACCTTGGATTTTAATGTACTTTTATGCAACTATTGGTATTAGTCTCCACCATGGCATTTGCCGAAGGACGATTCTAGCTGTGAATTCAAAACACGCTCTCCTCTCTCTGCATAGTGGTCTGGCTGGGAAGCCCCAAAGTTAAGTATTCCTCTGGATTCACATTTCTCCATGTTTTCTGGCAAAGCTCCTTCCATTTAATGGTTATTGGAATGTCCTGATGGAGGGAGAATCCACAGGATAACTGGATTGTATTTCTTCATTTTCTATTATCTCAGGATATCCCCACCCCCACCCCGATTTAAACTGTGAAATGTGATGGGAAATTTATTTTGAATAGTATACAGATTGTTCTTGAATGCAGGATTGGTTTTTCCATAGCTTCTACTTTCTTTGTGATGTATTTGTAATCAAAATGAGAGTCTTTTTTTCCTGTGCCATGCCAACTTTTCTGCATACACTAAATTTCCTTGCTTTTCATAAAACCTGAGCCAGTTTTTTTCACAGAAAGGGCCTCCTTCATCTCATGCCCACTCTTTTCTGTATCCCATTAATACAGGTTGTCCTTGACTTACAAACGGTTTAGTGACCGCACTGGCAACACCACTGAAGAAAGTAATATATGACCCTTGGGTCCATTGCAACATCCCCATGGTCACGTGATAAGAGTAACAAGAGTTGGAAGGGGCCTCGGAGGTCATCTAGTCCAACCCCCTGCTCAGACAGGAAACCCTATACCATTTTAGGCAAATGGTTGTCAGAATTCAGATGTTTGGCAACTGTGTTTTTTTTTAATGGCAGTTGCAGTATCCCAGGGGTCGTGTGATTCCTTTTTGTGACTTTTTGACAAGAAAAGGCAATGGGGAAGCCAGATTCACTTCACAACCATGTTACTAACTTAATAGAATAGAATATTGAATAGCATAGAATATAGACTATGGAGAATAGAATTAGAAATAATAGAGTAGAATAGAATAGAACGAAATTAGAAATAGAAATAATAGGAGTAGAATAAAATAGAATAGAGTAAAATATTGAATAGCATAGAATATGGACTATAGAATAGAATTAGAAATAGAAAAAATAGAGTAGAATAGAATAGAACGAAATTAGAAATAGAAATAATAGGAGTAGAATAAAATAGAATACAATAGAATATTGAATAGCATAGAATATGGACTGGATAATAGAATATAATTAGGAATAGAAATAATAGTAGAGTAGAATAGAATAGAATGAAATTAGAAATAGAAATAATGGAAGTAGAGTAGAATAAAATAGAATACAATAAAATATTGAATAGCATAGACTATGGACTGGGAGAATAGAATTAAAATAGAATAGAAATAGAAATAATAGGAATAGAGTAAAATAGAATAGAACAAAATAGAAATAGAAATAATAGTATAATAGATTAGAATAGAATATTGAAAAGTATGGAATATGGAGAACAGAATAGAATTAGAATAGAACTTAGTGATAGTCATAGGTTACTAGTAAGCAATAAAATTATTCTAGGAAACACTATAAATTTTAAAAATAAAAGCAACATGATAGATGTCTAGGAAAGAGGTTCTAAGAAGGAAGAGAAGAATTGTAGTAATACAGTCTTACAGCCTTAACTTCAAAACTATGGCACTTAATACTCTTGCTTAGCACCATAAATTTTCGGCTCTGTTGTAGTTGCACGTTGGGGAACACCTGTATTACACACTAGCTCAGTTTTTCTCAGGTCTTGGCAACTCTTAAGATAACATGGACTTCAACTCCCAAAGTTCTCCAGCCCAGAATTCCCTCACCTCCCAGCATCTTTTTTTTATCAGTAAGAAAAAAACCTTGATGAGATGTTTGAGTGAAAACAATTCCCATCCCAGCAGAGGGCGCTCTTGGCCTTGGAACGGCTCTGAGAGACTCCGAAATGGTTTTGCAGAAACTTTTATTTTTTTTAAAAATCTGGTATTGGGTTCAAAGACCCCCAGAGCTCAACAAAGCGAAAGTGTCCAGAATTAAGAGGTTTTAACCTCCTGTGTTGAAATTCTACGCAAGATTAATGCAGTTTTGAATGTGCAAAGTTTTCAAAAGTCTTCCCATAACCTCTCTCAGCCTTCCCCAAATGTTCTCCAAATGGATAAGGATTATAATTTTTGGATTTTCCCAGCCCTTTGACTTCCATGCTGATGAGACATTTGGGGCTTTATAAGTCCCAGGTTAGGGACGCGGTGGCTCAGGGGCTAAGACGCTGAGCTTGTCGATCAGAAAGGTCGGTAGTTCAGCGGTTCAAATCCCTAGCCCCGTGTAACGGGAGTGAGCTGTTACTTGTCCCGGCTTCTGCCAACATAGCAGTTCGAAAGCACGTAAAAATGCAAGTAGAAAAATAGGGACCACCTTTGGTGGGAAGGAAACAGCGTTCTGTGCGCCTTCGGCGTTGAGACATGCCGGCCACATGACTACGGAGACGTCTTCGGACAGCGCTGGCTCTTCGGCTTTGAAACNTTTAGGAAGGTTGTAACAAATAGTGTTTCCTCAACTGGCTTGGCACTCTTCCTAGAGAATTGCTAGTACCGTGATATTTTTTTGTCAAATTCAGCCTGTTACTTTGCTCGATTCTACCGTTTCCCTCAAAACAAGACCTCCCCCGATAATAAGCCCAATCAGGCTTTTGAGCGCATGCGCTAAAATAAACCCTCCCCTGAAAATATTGACACACAGCAGCAAGCATGTGGTGACCACGCTCGCCGCCTCCTGCACCCCAAAAATAATAAGACCCCTCTGAAAAGAAGGCTAAGTGCTTATTTCAGGGGGTCAAAAGAAAATAAGACCCTGTCCTATTTTCAGAGAAACACTGTACTCATTTTTGTACAAATCAAGATTCATTCTGTTAATTTGTCCCAAAGTTCTGAATTATTTCTTTTTTTTTTAAATATATGTTTTATTGATGCATTTTTCTTTATAAACTTAAAAAGTTCCATATCTGTGTGAACAGCGTGTTGTCTGGGCACAGTTAGTTTTAAATGAAAGTACAATAATCATCATAATAAAGATCAATATTAATCGCAAAGTAATAATGCGGTTAGTTTATCCGTCTTGTAAAATTTTTGATACAACTTTTTTTAAATGATCTTTTAAATCTTTTTAGTTTCTAACCTCTGTTTCTGTCAGATTAGCCGTTGGTAAAACAAATCCCATGTTAAAGAATATTCTGTTTCTTTTCTTTTAAATGTTAATCTATCCATCTCAGGACATTGTAATATTTTTTTTTTTATAACACTTTCCTCTTTCGGGATAGTTCTGAATTATTTCTTCCTGGAGTAACTCATAGCTGTGGACTCTATCACCCAAATTGGCACTTAAGCAAAATATTGTTTTTTTTTCCCAGCAAAAGGAAAACCATAAAACAATGAAACTTTTTGAGGCGGTCATAACTGCTCCTCTTTTCCCCTCCTTGTTTTTTTTTAAAAAAATAGTTTGCTAGAGGAAGAATTCTATGGAAATTCTGCTGCTCTGTGAACATGAGCTAGTTTTAAACATAACCCTGAGCTGTTTATTTGAGTGGTGCAGTGGCCTGCAGGTGGAGCTCTCGCCTCACGATCAGGAGGCTGTGAGTTCAATCCTAGGTAGAGGCAGATATTTCTCAGAGAACATACCTGCTGAACAAAAACTCTGCACTGGCGATAAGAAAGGCATCCGGGCATTCAAACACACTCCTAGCTCCATTCAGTGTCCAGACTCCACCCTGCAAGGGATTATGGGGTTGTTAAATGATGGATGACTGAGCTGTTTATTTCTGGCATTAGAAATGTTTTATTTGCGTCTTACGTATCCTTCATTCTTTAGCTTTAGGTTCCTCGAGCCAGAAATGGAGAGCGGTCTGGCTCTCAAAGAGAAAAAAGAGAGTTCAGATGCTTTTTAGGTGGTGAGGCCCACTAAATCAGCAAGCCGATTTAGCCCGTGGCTTTTTCTGTTGGTGCAAGCAGGAGGTTGGAGTCCCCATTAGCTTTTCTTGCCAGGATTGCAATAGAAAGGTAAAAAAATTTCCCCTGTCCAGTCATACCTGACTGTAGGGGGCAGTGCTGATCTCCACTTCTTAGCTAAGGGAAGCCAGCGTTGTCCGAAGACACCCCCGTGGTCTTGTGGCCAGCCCATAACCCAAGGTGCAGGAACGCCGTTCCTTTCCCACCAAAGTGGCACCTATTTACCTGCTTGGCAGGCTTTCAAACTGCTAGGTTGGCAGAAACTGGAGCAAGGAACGGGCTCAGCCCATCGCATGGCGCTTGGTTCTCGAACCCCGGGCTGTCCGCTTTCCACATCTTTAATTGTTGAGCCATTAGCTTTTCTTGTCGGAGCGATTGTCCAAGATTGCAATGCATGCCTCTGCAGTTCTGAACCACCCTTTCTGCCACATTTAAAGCTAGGGGAAGAGAAGCATTGGTCAGTGCCCAGCTGCTAAGAGACGTCTTCCTACCTCTGCAGGGTTGGCATTGGGACAGGAAAGGTTCATTGCTGATTCAGGTTGCCAGGAGTGAGTGAGAGATCCTTCCCTCTGAAGTGCAGCTACCATGCCCGTAAAACGCTACCTCTGGTTCTCTCTCCTGGCACAACCAGACACTCCTACAGTAGCTTTGAGATTCACGACTGCTGTCGCCTTTGTGTCGGATGGTTCCTTTCACTCAAATTGCACACCGGCGGCTCGCCGGTGGATTTATGAGGCTGAAGGCACAGTGGTGTGCGCAAGCTAGAAGCAAACAGAATTTTGCGCTTCGCAGTTGCTCCTTGGTGCCCAGGGTGTTGGAGAGTTTTATTCTGCTTTAAATTCAGCGTCTTTAGAGCCATGGATCTCTTGTCGTTTCATACCCCATCAATATTCAGTGACTGTGTAGAACACTGTTGTGAGTTTGCGTTGGCGTTAGTGGCTGAGCGGTGTCTGAAAAATGTTGCTTTTTTTTCTCTAGTTGTTGAGTTAGGGATGAATGAATCATAGCACTGGAAGGGATTTTCTACCAACGCAGGAATCCTCAGATCATTTCGGACGAGTGTCTGTCCAAATTATTATTATTATTATTTTAAGAAAAACACCAGTTTTCTCCCTCGTACCTACAAGTCCAGGAGGCAGCATATTCTGCTCTTGATCTCTTGCATTAGTCAGGACATGGATTCTGATTTTGAGTTTGAATCCTGCTAAAGCAGTGTTTCTCAACCTTAGCAACTTGAAGATGTCCGAACTTCAACTCCCAGAATTCCCCAGCCAGCGAACGCTGGCTGGGGAATTCTGGGAGTTGAAGTCCGGACNGGACAGGAAGGCACTACAGAGAGTGATCCATTCGGCACAAGAAACCATTGGTTGCCCTCTGACACCACTGGATGACATCCCCAGATCTCGCTGCTTTAGCAGAGTAAGGAAGATACTCAGAGATGATTCACACCCTGGTCAGTGTCACTTTGCACTTCTACCATCAGGCAGAAGACATCAAAGTATAGACAGCCGAACAAACAGGTTTAAAGATTCTTGGGCTGTGAGACTTTTAAATACAACCACAATCACTCCATGCACACACTAGTTTTTTTTCTTTTTCTTTCTTTTTTCGTTTGTTACAATTTTGCACCAGTGGGGCTAAAACCAATTTCGTTGTATTTAAGTACAGTGACAATAAAGATTATACTTATACTTATTCCTCTCTCAGTCACCACTGTTAAGCTTGATTTCACACAGTTTATACGTACATTCGTATACGTATACGTACATTTATATGTACATTCTACATTCTACACTTTTGCCTAAGTGTAAGGCTTTACTTTTGTCTACATTAAATTTCATTTAGAGTTCTACATTCCCCTCCCCCGCCTTCTTCCCTTCAAAAATCCCCTTAGCTGGAGTTTGTGGCTTTGAAATGAACTCAAATGGAATGAATGAAATGAAAACAACCCTCCTTTTCATCAGATCCAAAACAAAGACCGACCCCTCTTCCCTTTCCATTCTCTATAGTCTTCCCATCCATTCCCGACGCGGAAGACTGGATCCGGAAGTCCTCTCTGCATCCGCTCCTTCTTGGTTATCTTGCCGCCTCGAATTCCCATAATACTCCGCGCGCGCGCGGCCGCCTTCCTTTTTCCGCCATCTTGCTGCCCTGGTGAGTAACGAGACGCTTTGGGTCCCCGATAAGATCCGTCCCGCATCGCCTCCATCCCGGCTTCTCGGGCCGTTTGAACGCCGGTTCTGGCAAGCCGGGGCTCCGCTCGATTCGCTCGGCTCTTTCGGAGGAAGCCGCGCGGCTCCTGGCCCTGGCGGCGCTGGCCTGAACTCCGGCCGGGGGTGGCGGCGGCGGCTGGTTAGGAGAGGAATGCCTAGGAGTGGAGCTTGGAAGGCAAGCTCGGGAAGCGAGCTGGGCTTGAGTCGGCGGCACGGGCCTCAGGTGGGAAGGAGGGACGGAAGCCGAGACGGGCCGGCCCGAACTTTCAAAGCCCTGTTCCCTTCCCACTAGGTTATAAACACGTGTCATGTGAACCCAGGACTCCCACGTTGTGGGAACAGGGTAATGCAAAGCAATGCAAAATAAACAGCTTTAAAACCTTGCTTGGAAGGGGAGGGGGAGCTGGAAAGGGGGCAATCCTGGCTGGTGAAACCCCTCTACCAATATGGGCCAGGAGGCTGGGATTGGGCTGCAGCAAAACCTGGGTTTGCCTTGGATCTCTTGCAGGGTGCGTGTGTGTGTGTGTGGGGAGGTCGGATTCCCCCCTTTTTAACCCGTGTCCCAAGTTTGCAACGTGGGCTGCCCGACTTGTTGCCCCAAGTGCCCGTCCTGTGTAGCCTTGCCTTCCATGATGGTTGAGGGCAGAATTAATGGCGCATCCCCTTCCATCCTGCAGGCGAAGGTTAAGAAAGTGAAAAGGATGGTAACTTGCCAGCTCAAGGCAAAACCTATTTGAAGTCCCAGATATTTTGCGTATGTTCAGTTTACATCCATGTCGCCCTGCACATGGATCTAGTATCCTGTGATTCCCAACTAGCATGGCGGTTTGTGGCATGGGAACTTGTAGCAACATGTAACTGGGGGAGATATCAGCTTGCCATGGTCTGTTCTGTAGAAAAATATACCAGCTGCCCATGATGCTTTGTTTGGCTTTAAGATTTTTGCAGATATTTAAGGGATTAATCCAAAGGATAAGGGACCAAAACATGCTCCCTGTTCCAACTTTAGCCCCCCCCCCTTTCAAAAAATGAATCATAATGTACCCTTGTGTATATATGCAAAATGATAGCTTTCAACAATAATAAGGAGAAGATATGGTCTTTTCTAAACTCAGCATTTAATGATACCTTTCATACTACAAGTTTAATCCCTGTATTTTGGTGCCAATTAATTCATGGGGTACAGAGCAAGTTTCTGATAATAATCTGCCAGGAAAAAGTTCTACAGATGTGTTTAAAATCATCTTGGTTTGTGTTTGAAAAAGGTTTTTTTTTATCTCCGTGTAAAAGAGATGAACAAGATCACAGAATACCTTGTAAAGTCAAGATCAGAAAGCTTTTTTGCATTCATACTTATTATTGCTGAAATAACAACTGGATTGAAATAGTATTTGTTGTCTAGCTCACAAAAGTGAGCTAAATTTATATTTTATCATCCTGGATTGGTGCAATTTTTGCAAATAGATATTCACACTTTGGGTTATTTTTGTGTGTTGGCTTTGAAACTTTCTAATGAGGCTTTTTNTTTTTTAATATAGTGTAAAAACTAATGTGTATTGCTGGTCTTTGACCGTAATAAAGATTTTACTTACTTACTCACACTCCTGAAATGAATCGAATGAATGAATGAATGGTTTCCTGCAAAAGCCCCCTCCCTTTTCGCTCCTCTTTTATGTCCTATGGGAGGGGCCATTCACCGTCCACCTATGCCTTTACTCCAAGTCGACCCTGATTTCTGAGTTGTTCCTTTCTTCTGGCAACTCTGTGCATGCACACAGTGGGAACAGGCTCCATCTGTTCCTCTGCCTCACCGGTGTCTGACTCCGAAGGCAGCTGATTACTGTTGGGCGGGCCTGGCCCCCTCTCTGCCTCCGATGCAAAGTCCTCCTCCAAGCCTTCCCCAGACTCCAGGACTGGCCCATGTTCCTCCTCTCTCTCTGATACTGCTGCCAGCTCTGCTGGTCCCTGGCGTTTGAGCTTCAAAGGTCTTTAGAAAACCCCCATCCTTCCTTTTCTATTCTGGCCGTTTTGCCCTGGATTCAAACGGAGTTTTACACAGTCAAATCCTGTTATGAATTCTGACAGGCCCGAAGAGAAGAGATCCGTAACGCAGAGCTTTGATATTAAAATGCATTTCAAGGAGCTGATGTTTCCTTTCCCCCCCCTTCTCCCTCCCCTCCCCTTTGTAAGGATAGTTATAAAAGGGCTGTGACTTTCTGGTGGGACGACACATCACAAAGGGTTTGTGGGTTGGGATGGAGAGCGGATTGACTTGGGAAGGCTCTTGATCTCCTTAGGGGGGCAGCTTATGAATCAGAGGAGAACAAAGACTTGGCTAGTTCACTCCTAAAGTTCTAAGCTGCAGCTTTTTCAAGCCCATTTATTTTCTTTAAGCCTCCGTACTTCTGAGCCAGAATCTTGCCCTTGGGAAAGGTTGGGAAATTCTCTTTCTCTTGGAAAAAACCCACCACATCCATCATAAGTCCATAAAGCTACCAGGAGATGCTTTGGATAATGAGATGAATGGGATATAAATTAAAAAACTAACTAACCAACCAAACGTGGGGTTCTTGGTTTTTCATTACCCAACTATGTAATAGCTTCAGTGCTAGCTAATGCATTGTCAGTGTTATGTTGTTATCGAGTTGAGTAATGAAAGGTCTACAAGAAACCACGATGCTCAGAGAACATCAAGGACGCCACAGTTCTCCTCCTCCTCCTCCTTGCAAACCCCATTCCCTTCTAGCATTGATGATGTTACTAGTTGGGCNGTTAATACCACTTTATAAGGCCTTGGTAAGGCCACACTTGGAATACGGCATTCAGTTTTGGTCGCCACGATGTAGAAAAGACGCGGAGACTCTAGAAAGAGTGCAGAGAAGAGCAACGAAGAGGATTAGGAGACTGGAGGATGAAACATATGAAGAACGGTTGCAGGAACTGGGTATGTCTAGCTTAATGAAAAGAAGGACTAGGGGAGACATGACAGCAGTCTTCCAATATCTCAGGGGCTGCCACAAAGAAGAGGGATTCAATGCAATACAATACAATATGATGTTCTCTCCATAATTGCAACCATTAAATTGGACATGCAGCTGCTATTGTTCTTTAATTTCCCTGATGCAGTTCGGCAGTGTTAAGGTTAATGATAAAGACTTGATAGCAATCTGAAATTACGATGATCAGAAAAAAGGGGGAAAAAAAATCCTCCGGCCCTTCTATTTATCGGTTTTTCATTCGACTGATGAAAAAGGACTTCTTTCATCAGAGCCTTTCAAAGGGGAAGCGGAGTGAGGTAGCGCCTCTCCGGCGATGCTTTGATTCAAATGTTCAGCAATTCCGTCAATTCAGGTGCTTTGAATCAATCAGCTTGATGGGCCTTTTCCCAGGCAGGCACCCACGTCAATCAGAGGGAATCCAATTGAGATGATGACTCGGATTACAAGCTCAGAGACAAATCAACTTGAACCCTTCCCATCGCAGTGCGGAATTGGATCTTGGTTGGGTTGTATACCTGGGGATGAAACACATGTATCTTCTCCCAGTTTGTGTTGCTGTCATAATTTTGAGGCAGCCAAGTGAAGCATTGGGTTGGTTGGGAATGTCTTTGACCAGGGATAAGATAAGTACCAGGTGGGATTTGAACCCAGGGTGCCCAGTTGCATACTGGTTTTTTATCTCTGGGCCTGTGACAGATGAAATGCTCCCTATGCAGTGTTTTCCTTAGCAGAGATAAAGGTAAAGGCTCCCCTCGCACATATGTGCTAGTCGTTCCCGACTCTAGGGGGCGGTGCTCATCTCCATTTCAAGGCCAAAGAGCCAGCGCCCTCCGAAGACCTGTGGCTGGCATGACTCAACACCGAAGGAATGCTGTATACCTTCCCTGCAAAGGTGGTTCCTATTTTTCTACTTGCATTTTTTACGTGCTTTTGAACTGCTAGGTTGGCAGAAGCTGGGACAAGTAACGGGAGCTCACTCCGTTATGCGGCACTAGGGATTCGAACCACCGAACTGCCGATCTTTCGATCGACAAGCTCAGCATCTTAGCCACTGCATCTCCCTAGCAGTGATAGATGGGCCTTACAAATTCACCTCTAGGAATATCTTTCTGCCATCTTGAGAGAGCATTATTCTGCAAATTTCCAAGGGCTGCATAATTAACACTCCAGTAAGCATCTCCGAGGTTTGTGCTAATGTCATCTCCTTGATTTCAAACTTCTGTCTCTCTCTCTCTTTTCCCTCCGTTCTCCCCATGAATGCTTCCTTGCCTCCGAGAGCATCAGAAACAGCTGGTTTGAAGGGTATTTAAACACTAAAAATACCTATTTTTTAATTGCCTATTACAACAACAGAACAAGTGGCATGCTTCCACCCAGCGCGAAACACACGTCAATCCCAAGTGATAATGTTTTTTTTTTTTTGATATTTGTTCCAGGTGTGGTTAAACAAGAAACAACAATGAAGCAGGTTCCGTAGGAAGCGGCTCGTGATGTTTCAAGGTACATATTTTGTTTTTTTTAGAAGCACATGGGTAGCCCGTTCAGGATTTCTTGATCCTTCTTGAAAACCCAAAGCAGCAAACAAGAATGGAGAGAGAGAGAGAAAGACAGAGAGAGAGGGAGAGAGAGAGAGACAGAGAGAGACAGAGGGAGACAGAGAGATAGAGAGAGAGAGAGACAGACAGACAGAGACAGACACACACACACACAGAAACACAGAGAGAGAGAGAAAGAAAGAAAGAGGGAGAAGCTCACACAGAGAGAAGCAGAGAGACAGACACACAGAGAGAGAGAAACACACACACACACACAGAAAAAGAGAGAGAGAGAAACAGAGAGAAAAAGAGAAAGAGAGAAACACACACACACACAGGGAGAGAAACACACACACACACACACACACACACACACACAAAGAGAAGGGTGGGGTTAAACTATGGCTCTGAAACGAGTGAATGTCTTAGCAGTCATAGAGATGGATCTTGTTCAGGTGTCCCTTTGGGTCTTCTAACAGAGCACCCCCTGTGTTTACCATTGAGCCCATCTGATCCCATTCCTGGTTGAGTTCTTCGTCTCTTTACTTCCGCTTTTCCCAACATGAAGAACTTCTCAAAGGAGATGGTGGGTCCTTCCCGAACGTCTCCAAAATCTGGTAACTTGAGGCTGAACAAGGCAACCTGTAGATGGCAGTAAAGCCATTAACAATATAGAACGTTTTACTGCCATTAGCGGTGATCAAGGTCACTGCAGCCCAGATGTGGTACCAAATAGGTAGCAGCCTATTAAAGCCGGCCAATCCTGTTACCCTTCCTTCCTTCCTTCCTTCCTTCCTTCCTTCCTTCCTTCCTTCCTTCCTTCCTTCCTTCCTTCCTTCCTTCTTTCCTTCCTGTCTTTCACTCTCAATATTCTTCCTTCCTATTTTTCACTCTCAATATTCTTCCTTCCTTCCTGTATTTCAATATCCTTCCTTCCTTCCTTCCTTCCTTCCTTCCTTCCTTCCTTCCTTCCTTCCTTCCTTTCTTT